TACTAGTTAGACTAATATAATTACTTACTGTTTACTGGTTGTTACTAGTTAGACTAGTATAATTACTTACTGTTTACTGGTTATCACTAGTTAGACAAGTATAATTACTTACTGTTTACTGGTTGTTACTAGTTAGACTAATATAATCACTTACTGTTTATTTATTATAACTAGTTAAGCATGTATAACTATTTATTGTTTACTGGTTGTTACTAGTTAGACTAATATAATTACTTACTGTTTACTGGTTATCACTAGGTAGGCATGTATAATTACTTGCTATTTATTTGTTATTACTAGTTAGGCATGTAGAATTACTTATTGTTTACTGGTTAGACAATTATAATTACTTACTGTTTACTGGTTATAACTAGTTAGACATCGTTAATTATTTAGTGATTACTGGTTATTTATGTTAGAGAAATGTAATTACTTGCTCAATACTGTTATTTTATATGCAGTCTGATTTTTTTCATTGTTTATAGGTTTTTATATGGGTGTTTAATGTAAATATTTTATTTCATACTTTTTCAGTCGAATCTATATATCAGTATATTTTTATTTGTTATTTTTTTACTTTCATATGAAATAAATACCATCGTAAATATTCCTGAATAAATTACACTGTACTTATATTAAAACAATTTTGGAGCCTCACCACGCCATTATAGTCCAGGCTAACACGTCTCTTGATGTTCTGTCTAACAATCTTGATAGCATAGTTTTCTTTGCAATCAATCTCCCTCTTAAGGCTTTCATATCCAAAGGAAAACATTTCTTTCCTGTGTGCTTTCCATAATTTTTTCTGTTGTACGAGGACGACGGTTTCACTACGTTAATTTCAACAGTTCGATCGCACAGAAATACATAGGTGACTTGACTGGTATATGGTATGGAATAGCTGAATATTAATTTCATTCCCCAGCTGTTTGAAGTATGCAATGGTTGAACGGATATGTCGTGGATTCAGTTTGTATACACGTGAATTGTGTTGATTTCCCAGACAGAGATTCTTCTTGATTTTGCTGCGTACAGTTGCGTGAAACACGTGGATGGTATTTTTCACTGACCCTTGTGTGTGTGGATTCCCATCTATTTAAAGACTCGCTCTGGCTGAGGTACGACTTGTTGAAGGTTTCTTCCTGGATGGTTCTTTGATCCCGAGTTGATTCATATTATCTTGTTTTTCAATATAATTAAGTATAATTGAAATTCTAAATATCCGTTCTGAATAAATCTTTATGATCTGAGTGTATGAATATTTTACGTCGGAAAGAGCTGTTACATGCCTTTCCAAAAAAAAAAAGAAAAAAAAAAAGAGAGACCAATTCTGGGTGGGATCACACTACCTCCGTATAACGAAAGAATGTCAATATGTAGTTCTGATACATTCCGTTTCACCACGACTTTATATCGGCTGTTGTTACCACGTGACTTGGTTGTTTGCATATTCAAAATTATTTTAATATACCCTACTCATCTCTTTGTATTAAGGTAGATGTAAGTCCATTGACTTCATTTGACTCTTTAAATGAAGAGCCCTTAGTTGAAGGTAATATTATTCCAATACAAGATCCATCAGTCAAGTGAGTAGTATTACTCATACAGAAAATGTATTCCCAGTATGCTATTTTGTCATATAGATTAAACAAAATTATTTGTAAATAACATTTTTATTGTAGAAGTATATCAATAGGGTATGTTTTGGGAATAGCACAAAGTCATCTTTCCTGTCACCTTAATTAAAATTTAAACTTTTTCATAGGAACGCAGAATTATACTTGGCTGTTGACGTTTACCTTTACCTTAAGGTAACAGACAAAATTACTTCATCAGAGTTTACAGAGAATTAGATGTCACTGTGATCTTTATATTACAGGAGAAAAATAAGCAGAATAAGTTAGTTATGTAGATGAAGAGTATTTTCCAATTAGCTGTTAGGTAGTAATATTTGTGAACAAGCTCACGTTACTGGTAATTAATAACCTCGACACTCACTTCAACATCTTACGAATTCCAAGTCATTATCAAGCCATTAGACTTTTAGTTGTCTTCCATCATCAATTACTCGCTCGTCATATGGTTCGGGCAATCTACCACCCACGTGTTATTGTGATATAGAGCTCAGACTTCAATTAGGTTATCTTTACTTTCCTACTGCGAAGCGAAATACAGTCTTATATTAAAGAACCGAAATAACTGAGAAACCGCTCCAGTTGTTTAAACAGTACATTTTGTTTCATCGTGAGTCATTTCTTGTCACAATTCACTGAAAGCTTAATCCATTCTAAAAGATCTAAAAGCATAAACATTTAACGTTTTGATACTGATTATAAAATGAGTATGACAAATTATACCATACTTCAATGAAGCTATAGCAAAAGTAGTATATAATTTAGAATGTTATGCAATTATTTTGGAGTTAAAGACTCTGTTTTATGTAAACTCTGATACGAGAAGAGTAAAACAGATGAGCAATTTTTGTGATTATACTCTGGATGTGGTAAACGTTAGATGAGAAAATATGTCGAAGAATAGAAAAGTGAAGTTTTAAATTGGGTAGTAAATGTTTTCAAACCTTCCTGCTTCTCTCCTAATATGTCGCCAACATTCAGTTTACAGACTCTGAGTTTAGTTATAACACTTTCTTGGTCAAAAAGGTTTAAATCTGATCGATGTCACATATCTTCTTCGAAAAATCCCCAATAGGTTTGGCATACCATATGGGGAAATTTTATTTTGTGAGGAGTTAAATTTCCTCAGTTCTATAAATCTTTTTTTCAAAAAGTCTGCAAAAGATTTCGCATACCATGCAGAGCAACTTTGTTTTGTGTGGTTAATTCTTATCTGTCTCAAGCAACTTGCAACAGATTTGGCATATACCATAGAGTACCTTTATTTTATGGGGTAAAATCTGATCTGCCTCACAGATTTGACATATCATGTGAAGCAACATTTAATTTATATCAGTTTATAATTACTGATTCAGCCGAACACTATAAAGTACATAAAGTTTAGAACGAACAGCATTAATTTTAGCTGTCTTTCTCTTGTTTTTTTCTTTTATTTATTAAAGCTTTTTCCAATAAGCAGTTTTCGACTTAACATTCCACACGAAGCAGTTTGTGAATGAAAGTTAGGAATGTTTGAAGTATATAGAAGAGAAACTTTACAACAGACAGTAGATACTAAAGAATTAATAGATGGTCAAATAAACATTGCGTTCAGCTAAACACAGATTTAATAAATGATCAAAGAGATGTTAGTAATTAGTAAACGGTCAACTAGATATTGTAAAGTTAGTATATGTCTAGCTATATAACTACAAGATTAGTTGAAACTCAACTAGATATTGTAAAGTTAGTATATGCCCAACTAGATAACTAGAAGATTAATTGAAACTCAACTAGATATTACAGGAGTAGTTGATGTACAACCACATAACTACGGGATTAGAAGCATTACAAGATTAATAAAGAGTCAAACAGGTTCTGTAAAGTTAGCAGGTGTCTGACTTGATAACTAAATGATTATAAGATGTCCTACTAGACAACTACAGGATTAGCAGATGCTGGATTAGATAAATATAGGATTAATGGATGACAAACTAGAAAACTACAAGGCTGTTAGATAACAAACTAGAAAACTACAAGGCTGTTAGATAACAACTAGATAATAAAGGATTAGTAGATGCCAGAATAGCTAAGTGCAAGATTAGTAGATGCACTACTAAATAATTACAATATTATAAAATAGTTGACTAAGCACTATACGATTAATAAATGGTCAAACAACCGATAGATACTCTAAAGGTAGCAGCTACCTGACTACATAACTACAAGAGTATTAGGTTGCTGACTAGACACTGAAATATTAAAAAAATATCTGGCTAGATAACTACAGGATTAGTAGATGTCTGACCAGATGAAAACAGGATTATTAGGTGACCGAATAAACAATAGAGGATTAGTAACTGATCAAATATATGGATTAGAAGATACCAGAAGAGATAAATACAACATTAATAATGGTTGACTGAGATAACTATAGGATTTGTGGATGACTGACTAAATATTGCAGAATTAGTAGATGTCCGACTATGTAAGTACAGGATTAGTGGTAGATGACTAGGTACTAAAAGACAAATATATTTTCCCCCCAATAGGTAACTAGAGTATTAATGATACTTGAATCGATAATAAAAGATTAGTAGATGACTGACTATACAATAACAAAATACATAAGTGGTCGAATATATATATATATTAGATAACTACATGATTTATAACAGCCAGGTTATATAACTTCGAGATCTGTAGGTGATAGAATAATACAGAATTAGTAAATGCTTGAATAGATGATGAATAACACAATTAGAACCTTGTAAAAATATATCATTTACGTATAACCCGATGTTTCACAAAGCCTAATCGTGCAGGTAGTAGATTAGAGTTAAGCAGCAAATACGACGACATTAGTAATGATTTTACAACATTTAATACTGAACTTTAAATGTGTGAATAAATTTCGAAACGTAAAATATTTATAACCCTCTTTCGATGACAACAAAGACGTAATATTGGAATAATATTTGGCGAAACTTGCCCTGAAGAAAAGATACTTTATCTTTTTCAATTCAGCTTTACTAGTGAGTGAACGATATTGTTGATGTTAGCATACATCCAATAACAAGGTACATGATACAATTCGTATTAGCGTAAAGTATTTAATAACAGCGTATAGGAACAACATCGTTATTCAGTGACTAACGCATGGGAAAGTATGAAGAGCGAAAACTATACGTCGACAACATATTGATGTTCTTTGAAAGAGAAGTCTTCTGGATGCTATGTCATATTTTCCATTTTTCCTTAATTAGAAAAGTAATTATATACACTTACTTTAAATGATTAGATAAGTTAGTTAATTAGATGATTGATAGGAACAAAAGTGTTACGTTTACAGATATCTTTAATATATTAAAAGCTAAGGAGGCAAACCTGAACAAGTGGTGTACAAATCTTCTGGACTGGTTAACAGCGGCGAAACAAGACGTTTTTGGAGCTGCTGCAACTAAGAATCTGAAATCGCAGCCTCTACTGGCTCTGTCAACTAACGGATCCGTTCGATCTAGAAAAATGTTGGTGATGCGTGAAAACAGTGCGCAGTAGGAAAGCTAAGAAGCAAGAGTTGAGTGGCTTTCTACCCAATTTACAGTTATGATAAGACAGTTCCATACTGTTCGCGTCTGTCAGTCCCATCATTAGTACATGAATAACTCTCTACCACCAGAGGGCTAAGAAAGAACTGATCCAGCTCATAACTGTCTAAAAGTCCTATTATCAGTAGGCGAATAGTTTTTTTTTTCTGTTCAGCATAGCATAAGGCTAACAAAGGATGGATCTAGTCTTTTCGTGTATGAAAGCATTTAGACCCACATCGGCTGGATCACCTCTTTGGTAGCCCTATGCTGAGTAGAAAACTATTCTTTTTGTGATAATAGGGCATTTAGACCCACATCGGCTGGATCACCTCTTTGGTAGCCCTATGCTGAGTAGAAAACTATTCTTTTTGTGATAATAGGGCATTTAGACCCACATCGGCTGGATCACCTCTTTGGTAGCCCTATGCTGAGTAGAAAACTATTCTTTTTGTGATAATAGGGCATTTAGACCCACATCGGCTGGATCACCTCTTTGGTAGCCCTATGCTGAGTAGAAAACTATTCTTTTTGTGATAATAGGGCCCTATTATCTAAACACGAACCGTTTTTTACCCTTCACAAAGCTAAGAAAGAACTGGTTTAGTTTGAAAGCTCTATCATTAGTACTGTAGCAGCTCTGTACCAAGCACAAATATAAGCTACATAAACCCTATTATTAGAACATTATTAGCTCTCTAACCAGAACAAATCTAAGAAAGAAGTGATTCAGGCTATAAATGTTTGAAAGCCTTATTGATAAAACAGCTCTTTGCTCAGAACAAGACTGATTAAAGAACTGATCCAGCCAATATGTGTCTGAAAACCCAGTATAAATACAGGAATATTTTTGTTATCAGCACAGAAATACCTTTCTAAGGAGTATAAGGTCTAGAAAGAACAGATACAGTTTATAAATGTTTGAAAATCCTTTTATCAGTACCAGAGTAGCTAAATACTCAACAAGAGGCTATACATGTCTGAAAGCTTTAATATCAGCACTGTAACAGCTCTTTACTCAGTATAAGGTTAAGAAAGGATTGATACAACTTATACATGTTTGAAATCCTTATTATCTGTACATGAAAAGCTAAGAAAGAAATAATACAGCCAATAAGTGTCTGATAGCTCTATTAATATTACAAAAAAAGAGCTGTTTCAGCCTGTAAATGCCTGAAAGCCCTATTACTTGTAGACAAATAACTCTCTATTCCGCATAAGGCTATGAAAGAACTGATCTGGTCATTAGAAGATTGAAAGCCCCTTCAGTCTAGGAATACATAATGAAAGACATTTAATGGTCACTATCGTGTGAGACAGTTACCCTTTCTAAATAGTATTTATTTCAACATCAGAAATAAAGTCAGTGACGTTTGCACACAGATCACCAAATCAAGGATATTCACGTGAAAATGTGATATGGAAGTTAGAAGATTTTTAAATGAAAAGCATACATCATATTAAAACAACTTTAAATTCTACAAATATTAGATCAACAAAATATTCCTAAACTTTGTATATTAATTAAGCTCTTAAGGCTGACACTTAAGAAACTTTTAACTAGACTCTTTTTCCATACGATGTCCGTCACATCGACCTTTTAACCATCAAAGTTTCCATACTATACCTTTTAATATGTTTTTTTGTGTATTCACGAAAGCTGGCAAGTTTCTGGTAAATATTTCAATTGTTTGATTAACAAAAAAGTCAGATATTTTAATTCAGTATATTCAATAAAGATTTGTCTATATAGAATGTTGACTGCTTTGAGTGCAAAGTTATTTACATGTTAAGATTTGAATTTTTTTTTACCTGAAATTTTTCAAGTTTCATTTACATGACCTCTAAAAATCCCTAAATACATATCAAATGTTTTTGTTTTCAATACAATTTTAAATTTTATCTGTTACTTTCTCTATCCTAATTCTGAATGGAACTAGATTGATTTCATCAACTTTATAATTACCATAAAAATACCAAAATAAGTCTAAGTTACTTTTATATTTTTCTTTCTAGAATGACTGCGTATTGTAACCAAAAAGTACAATTGCTTACCCTAAATAATTTAAGACTCGTAACATAATACACCTGTTTATTATTAATTTTATTGTTTTATTTCCTTTTGAACTGCGTCTAATTAAACATCCCACCACACAAGCTGTAAATCACTCGACGAACGCTTAGCTATGTTCAGCATTGAACGACCTAAAACAAGAACTGCTCGTGAGCATATCTCGTGAAGAGTTATTATTATATCTTTTTATCTTCTTACCTGATCTAACATTATCTAACTTAAGAAGTTCCTAATTTTTACACTTTAGTAAAAAATTATAACAATAAAATATATACATGAAAAACAAGAAATATAGTTCTTACCTTTGACATCTTGTTTATTTTTGCTGTCAGTTGGGTAGCCAATGAAATTTAAGCTTTATTTTTATAATAATGCTACTGGTACACTAAGTAATTTTATTTACATAAATATTTCATTTAAGAACACATAATAATAATACACAAAGCGAACAATGTCGTATAACTATTATAATTTAATTGGCTTTGTAACAAAGACAATAGAGGCTTAATATAAGTATCTTAGCTATTCGATCTGAAAATCGTGAGATAAACTTTCAAAATAAAGACAAAATTGGCAATACTTTGTATTGTAAAAATCGTAGCATTATTCGTCATTCGATAGGTTAAAACACTGCCTTTCTATTGGTTATCAATGATGTAGTATAAAACGTCAGACAGAAAATTGTTGGCTATTTGTGAAAGACAGGATGTGAAAGGTGGACGTGGCAAGTGGTTCCGATTTTTCAGCTTATGAATCGGTAAGCAAATAAGATTGTAGGCTATAAGAAGTAGACTTTTCCTTATTAAAATGTTTGTTTTAGTGAACATGTACATAAAGTTCCGTACTTCAAAGAGGGGTAGAAAGCAAACGTCATGATTCTCATACTAGGGGTTGAGAATTTATACAAATATTTCCTTATAAAATTAAAAAATAAGACATATATATCATTACAGTTTGATTTATTAACTACGTTTTGATGCCAAGTGTATAGTGTACATTGATAATCATTATGGGTGTCTATTACAAACTGTAAATGTGGCTGTAATCGTCTCTCAGTTTCATCATACCCTTCCTAATTTGCGATGAAATAAAAGTATGAACTAAATTTCCTATCAAATGCTCTTAATTTGGCAAATTCTGTTCTGCTATTTTCTACAGTAAGTGTTGCAAATGATTTTGAATTATTGTAATAACAGCCACTATTTCGGGTTCTGCCTTATGAATCTCTTGGTCTATCTTGGCATGTATAAAGTCATTAGTTATACTCAATAATGTGTTTGATGCTTGTTTGCTTTTCTGATCATTTACTTCTAATGTTTGCTTTAACGAATTCATTATGGAAGCTTGTTTGCGTAATAAATGTACCATTTCCTTCGATAATTGTCAGTGGTCATTTATCTTTTTATTTAATTATTTTAAATCATCTATGTTTGTGGTACTGAATAAGAACTTTACAATACTTCTGCCAACATTAATTAACTCCTTCTTTTGCTTACTTCCATTCGAAATAGAAACATTATTTTTAATGCTGTTTAATTCAGCTAAAAGATGACCTACTTCTATTTAATATTTCCTATTTAACTGTATATACAGTTTCTAGTAATCCTGTTTGAGTTGTTTTTAACACTTACATTACAGAAACTGCACTAGTAGAAAGAATTGCTTCATACCATCCTTAAAACTAACATTTTTTTCTCGATTAAGGGTTTTTCAAAAGAATAAGTTCTGCTCTTAGTTTATTTGTAACAATGGCAATATAACGTCATCGAATATTATTCATTTATTCGACCAATAAAATGAAATGTTCTTCTTCAACAAATTCTATACCTGATCTGTTTTTCACTGAACTATACTTACATTTTGTATTTTTACAATAAAGGCCATCAATACCACAAGGATACTAATTCTCTGGGTAAAGCTTCAAATACACTTATTAGTAGGTTATATTACTTAATTATATTATTTCTTATTTACTATCATTACGCTCTTTTAAGTAATTTAATATGTTCTAAATATTTTAAATTCTTGGCTACTGTATTATTTATTTTCTTATTTAATGAATGTATATTTTCTCATGTCGCGTGTCTGATAACATGTGGATAAAATCTGACCTGCCTTGACCTTCTGGTAGGTAGACCTTTGTTTCAGACGTGTTCATATACTGATCCTTGCGACCTTATGTTATAATCATAGTCTCTGTAGTTGGTGATGGCTGTGTCTCAGTTTTACTAGTGTCTGCCATTACTGATGGACTTTGCATATCTCTAGTACTGGTATAATTGCCTTAAAAATGCCTGTGTCCTGTTCACTAGCTGGCTTGCATCTATTGCTATGACTTATGTAATGAAGTGAAATATCTATAATTTCATCATATATGGATTCGAAATATTTATTACTTATTTCTATCTCATCATTACTTTTAACTGTCTTCGCTTTTATCTTTCTTTGCAGGTCTGTTGCTCAACTCTTTCCACATGGGCTAGGTCATTATGACCGACCTTGTACTCTTCAGATAACCATGAAATTATCTGTAATAAAAATTTTAATGTTGTACGTGTGTCTTTGCGAAATTTAGGAAGTTTTAATGAACATTACACGTCTTTTTTAGACGAAAAATTAGTTTTTTTACGTATTTTTACTAAAGACTTGAACATGAATATATGGAGTCAGAGTGTTGAATATTCATCTTACACTTTTCAAATTTAGTTGCATACCTCTAAAACCTTCTGTTGTATTTTATTTATTATTTTCTCTAGCCTAACACTACACAGACTCATTAACATTTTAACCACCATACG